CTAGAGAACTAAGATCTAGTGGAATTTGCTATGCTAGATTTTGGATTTACTTGGACCCATTACCTCTTTCTTTTTTCGATTTCTTCTCTTTGGAATGAGAACGTCCATCCTATGTTTGTCCCACCATTGTATTTTGGAAGTACATAGCTTTTCTGATTTTACAGGATCACTGATAAAAAAAGAATTTTGCCTCATAATGAACTGTACCTAAATCACCCATATCTAATTTAGATGATACTTAGAGGAGACTCTCGACTTTAGAGTTAATTCTGCAATGAGTGAAGACTTCTGTGGGTTGAATTAAGTTTATTGGGGTGAGTTAAGGTTGTTGGGATGGAATGAATGTATTTTGTATGCAAGAAGGATGTGGATTTGAGGTGGGGATAGCTAGGAAGCGGGCTCTCTTGCATATGTTAGGCTAAATAATTTTTTTCTGTATTATTTTATTACAATTATTTTTATAACTGATGTAAGTTTCATAATTCCGGTGCCTCAGTGCATGTAAAAAAGAAAAGCAGAAAATTGCTGTGTCAACATCACTTGGCTTTTACCACCACCTCTAAGAGTACAAATGAGACAGCACAGGACCTAGGACATTCTGTTTGGAAGTAAGTCTGTGACTCACTGTTAAACAATGAGTCTCAAAGTTTAGATTTTTGATTCATTCTGTTTTAAAACTAAATCATTGAAAGGAATGATTCGTTGTAATGACTGTTTCTCTTACATAAGAATGGAATGTATTTTTTGGAAAAGGTTTTAAGAAACCATCCAGGTATTTCATCATTGTAAGGTAGTGCTATATTTTGCAGACCTTAAAATGGAATTTAATTATACATTTTGGTCAGTTTCTTTTGTTAGTCATGCCTAACCAAAAATGATTAGGAAATTAGAGCTGAAAGTACAGCAGAAAAGTGTACCAGTGCTGTAGTAACAGATATTCAACCAACCTCTGTGGTTTTGATCTTAGTCAGCCAGTTCTACATTATGAATTAAGGGTAAGGGAATGGCAATGTGTGTAGTCATCTCATCCAAAAGCAGAGCCCTGATTTCCTTTAGGCACCTATCTTTGTGTGGATTGCCTAAGATCATGTTTCTTAGTTCTTTTTTTATCTGCCTGAAGGCCTTTATTATTCTTTCAAGTAGAAGAAACAAAACAAGTACCATAGTGATAGGTTGTTTTTCTATCAAAAGTCAGAAAGCAGAGAACATTTTTAAAATTATATTTCAGCTTTTCTATCACTTTTTAAGACTCCACTGTACTTTGTAGCCAGCCTAATTTTCAGAGCACCTGTCACATTTGGGTGGGTCAAGATTTTTTAGAGATTGATTTGCTTCAAGGGTGTGAAGAGTGGGCAGGAAAAAAAGAAAAAAAAGAATTCTGTTCCTCTTGTATTTGTCATCTGGCACCAGGATTCTCCAAATCAAAGAGTAGACACACCAGACAATCTTGGAGCTTTACCTAAGTGTGCAGCCTACAAAGTTTGGTGGATCCTTGTCTGATTCATGCAGAATGAGGGCATGCCTCTAAAATCTTTTGGCCAGTCTGAAAACCACTAATTTCTTTCTTTAATGAAAAACATATTTTCAATATTTATTAAACATTTATTAGTCTAATTTTAGTCAATTTATTTTGTGTGTGTGTTGATAGTCAGAGACAGGTATAGCTAAAGCACATTCTGACTAAATACTGGTTATATAGAAATGTATACAATAGAATAAAAACCATTATATTCTCCCTACTCTCCCACCTCTTTCGTAGGTACCCATCATAATTCTCTCAGACTTCACAAACTTATATACACACTCATATAAATATACTTAAACATTTTTTCCCCCTATTTTGCAAACTATTTCCTAAGTTTTTGCCAGTAGAAAAACACAAATCTGGTTTGGCATTCAAAGTACTTAGTAATTTGTCCCCCCAGCACCAACTCTCTCAATTCATTTTCTGATAATTGACTCTGAATAGTCAATGTTTCAGCCTCTTTGGACTTCTCATAATTCCCTGCATACACTTTACCCTTTCCAGACTCTGCTACTTCGATTATTCCGTTCCCTGCATGGAATACCCTTCCTTTTTTATTTTATCTGAGTCTTAAAAAAAAAATCTATGTTATGTCATAAATGAATCTGTTTCCTAGTTTGCTGTTGTGTAACCACTCCTTCCTTTGTATTTCCATAGCATTTTGTATATAACTTGACTATAAACAACAATCATCTTTATAATAGCTAGTGAGTATTGACTCTATTGTGTGTAAGCTTAACTTTTTTACATTTATTTAATCATCTTTCCACAATATTTTGTAACTCACCTGCTTATATGTCTTTTCCCAAAAAGAACACAACCAACTTACTTATCCATCTACATGTAGGCTCTAAACCTGGACATGCAATAGGTGCTCAGCAAAACCACGTATGAATGAATGAATGTAAAAATGTTGCTGTTCGGTGCTTGGTATTAAAGGTAATGCATAGAAAGCAATAATTGCTTTCTCTGTAATATAGAATACAGAAGGATACAGAGTGAATGGAATTTGCAAAAGCCAAAAAGGAATGGCCTGGCTTTTCCCTATAGAATATCCTGTAGAGAATTCTGCAAGTAAATCAGAGGATTGGGGAAAACTGAGGAAAACGCAAATAGAATTACTTTAGTCTAAGACACGTTAGTCTGCATTATTTGTTGATGGCTTTAGCCTTTGTGTAGGTATTTTGGCCAGTCATGACAAAATGAAATAATATTCATCAGAAGTGTAACATAAACGGTGTAGGCAGCATGAGCGCAATAAGAGGAGGTGAGAAGACTGCTATCAGGTGGAAATACAAGTTGTATTTTTCTGTGATCTTCAAACATTTTGTTTTATTTGACTCCTAATATAATTTTGAAAAATGATGTACCACTTTGCACATTATAAAGTTGATATCTAAAAATACTTATTTAATCATAAGCTTTAGTAGCTACAGAGACTAAGTTAAAAACATATGATATGATATATATGTACTTTAAATAAATGTTGTCACAACTTTGGAGTTGCCTATTTCATTGAATCATAAAAAAATGTTCACCATGTAATCTGATTGCCTAAGTCAGTCCTCACTGCCAAACTACTTAGGTAAGTCAGACTTATTGTCTGTCAATAACAAGCATGGCTTTATTTTTTAGTTCAAATGAATAGGCTAAAACACTCCATGATAATTTCGCATCTGAATTCTGATTGTGAGAGGGATATATAGACAGGCTTATAAGCAATCAGACAGACAGGTATAAATAAATAGAGTCTTGCCAAGATGAAATAAACATTGCACCCTTCAATTTTCTTGCTTTGTAAGAGATTATGCCCTGGGATCCATGAATTCTTGAATTATTCCTTTGCATTATGCTCCGGAGACTTGTACACCCAAGAGCAATATACCACAATGAGGATTGGGATGGGTGAGAAGTATGCTTTTTTTTTTTTTTTTTTTTTTTTTTTTTTTTTTTTTTTTTTTTTTTGTAAAGTAGAATCAGGGCAGTTGTGAAAGGCAAAAGACGAAAGGTAAATTGATGGCTTACAGGTGCATTCTCAGGCAGTTCCGTTTTGGGAAAAGCACAGTGGAAGCTGAGGGTTTGGAGATAGGTTCTGCTCAAACACTTTTATCTGCATTACCCTTTATGAAAAGTCTTTGTTTGCATTTCCTTGAAGACTGCTGGTATGGGTTGTGTCTATGTAACATCATAGGCATCTACACAGTATGATCATAAGATAAATGGATTTTAACACCCAGATTATACTTTCTGGTGCTTTGCTACATACAAGTGCCCTCTCTGTATCTTACAGTCAAGGGTGTACCAGATACCACAACCTATTGGTTTACCGGGTACAAGAGAAGAGAGACAATGAGTGTGTGAATGGTCAAAGTAGAAAAGTTATACAAAATCACATGTAAGGAGACATTTGTAGAATTTGAACAAGATGAAGATGAGGTGACTAAGGGATTAATTACTAACACGTTCCCCCAGTAGTGTGGACTAATAACCATTATATACAATAAATAAGAACTTTTTACAACATGGATTTTCCTGCAGTTTGTGAAATTTTATTTTTTAACTAAAAAGCTTTGTACTTCTAGCCTAAAATATAGGCATATAAAATATTCAGTCTTTTAAAAGTTTAGTTTTTATTCTCACTTTGAAACATGTATTTTATTTTAAAAATAAGTTTGTAAGAATATTTTTAAAATGCTTAAAAAATAAATGTTTACATCAATATTGATTTAGCATTCTAAATGTAACCTTTTAAAAATATGCAATGTTACTTTATGAACATCATTTGTATTGCGTTACAATGCGACACAGCATCAGAATAAGTCTCAGCGACATTAGGAAAGCTTCCTAGTGAGCTATTTATTTAGCTGTTTATAAAATCTCTTAAAGTATTTGCATTTTAGCCACGCAAAATTGCTGGCATACAACAAGGAAAAGTGTGCGATATCTATTTTGTTTTCATTGCTTTCTTGCTCTGGTTTTTATTTAATTCAATAAGAACCCCTTTTCAAGTTGAATGAACACCAAATGGTGCTTGCAGCTCAGAAGTATGAACTACTGTCTGTGGCTATAATAAGAAAATATTCCAGCAGGTTCAAAAAAGATTGGGAATTAAAAAAAAACACTACCTGTTCCCTTTTTGTAGAAGCAGTAGCAATCTGCAGACAAGCTATTCTAGCTTCAAGACAGTAAGGTAGATGCCTTTTCGGAACTTGTAATTACAAAAATCCACTTGAACCTTTCTTTCTTGCTGGCAGGTGTCCTGCTGGCTGGTAGCCAGAGGCTGTGAGTGTAGAGCAGCCAGCGGTGTCCCCCAGAGTGCTGAAAATGCCAACACTCCAGCTGGCTGCTCATAATTGCAATGATTGTGGTCTGACAACCAAAGCTCCAAGAAAAAAAAATGTGATGAATATATGAAACTATTTTAAAAATTTGATCAGATTACAAATTTCATCTTTTTTCTTCTTCTCCTCTATAGATATGATATCTGCACTTATAAAAATATGCCCTGCGGAACACTGGGTAAGTATTTGATAAAAGGAGGAGAGTTCAAATTGTCTCTTTGGTCCAGGGGCTTTGCTCTTTATTATTAATTTGGTCATTTTCCTTTCTGACACATCTGAAATGACTCCTATAAATTGTTAAACCTAATCTTTGTGGATATGTCACCTACTAGGAAACAAGAAGAGTGATGATTAAAAACAATTTAGGAGATGATTAAAAATCATCAAACAATAATGATAAATCAGAAGTTGCCACTCATTTTCATGTAACGTATTTTCCAAAAATAATAGCAAGGAATTTGAGAGCAAATAAAAGCAACCAGCATCTTTAAATTTCAGGCGAGGAAAGGAAAGGCAGAAACCACTTTGGAGATTCTTAAGGAAGAAGCATTGAGAGTAGTATTTATTTTTAATTTTTTTGGGGGGTGGTGGTGCAATTTGATGGAAATAGTATATCCCCATATATTAAGATATTATTGGAAATTTTTAGTATCTGAACGAAAAAGAGCAACGTTGTAAAATATTACAGATAGTAGCAGAGAGGATACAATTATATTTCTTGTGTGCCCCCAAATCATTTGTTTTTAAAAAATAATTTTTGTAATAACCTAGAATTTAAAAAAATCACATTTTGTTGCAGATCTTAACTTCATACTGATAAAAGTTAACTACATTAACTTCAAGTAAAATAAATTTTAAGCAAATAGAATTATTTTAAGAAATGGGGACTTTTTTATGATAATTTTTTAGTGTCAGGAGACTTTAACAGACTCAGAAGTTAAGCAACTGAAGGTGAATTCTCTAGTTTCTCCATGACAAATCTCAATCTTTTTACCTGTCAAGGAATAATTTTAAAATCTACTCCTATGCGCCTCATAAGAATGTTTTAAGATCAAATTAAAATAGGAGTGGGGAAAAAAGTATTACCCAACTTCCTGGGGTGTTCAGTGAATCATCTCTTTGGAGATTAAAATCTCTCTTGATGATTTTACCTGCCTTCCAGTCTTCTCCTACCTCATTTCCCTCGGGATTTATGGCTAAAGAAGAAATCTCAATTAGCGAAGGATGAGTATTACAGTGGAGAAGTTTTCTAGTTAAAAAGTATAATACAGGAAGATCTCTCATCAGAAAGATTTTATTTGTAGTAGTTTAGGTTAACAAGACCAATGTAATCCAATGGAAGGGATTCTGAACCGGAAATGAACGCCTGGTTTTGATAGTTTCAGTGCATTGCCTCTTCTAGTTTATTTAGCTCTTTGTCCCTCAGTTTCTTTATCTATAAAGTAGAAGTAGTGTCTGTCCTTCTGCTACAGGATGTTCTTAAAATCAGTTAAGTAAGAAAATATAAAGGTATTTAGTAAAGAAGTATAATAGTATAAAAATGAACAGCTGTTATTATTTAATGTGGAGATTATACTGTTTAACTTACCTTTTCTATTATTTTTCAAATTCTGCAAGCATTTACTAAGTGCTTAGTCAACTTTAAGTACAGTAGACACTAAGCCTCAAAGAAGGTACAAGCCAGAATGTATGTATGTATGTGTATACACATCCTGTTCTGCTTTTTGAAGAGAGATTGTTTACATTGAGATACATTCTTCATTGGGACATTGGAGAACACTGTCCCAGTAATAACACTGCTTAGAACTTTTATTGTCCTTTTTATTAAAGTAAATTTGAGGTCTTTTCCTACCCCCTCTCCTTTTATATTTTTCAAAATAATGTGTTCAAATTTTTATAGTTTACTAATTTCTAGAATCAATACAGGCCAATGCATTTTCAAGCTCAATATAAAATTTTCAAAATTTAAATCATTCTGACTTATTTTTATACTGTCTCATAGTGAAAACTGAATAAACTATATATGTGTATATATACACACACACACACATGTATTGACCTTTTGTGGGAAATACAGTATCAGTACAGAAGTAAGCAGGTTTTTTCTTTTTGAATGGCCATGCTAGTGACTTTCATGTTGGTTTTGTGCTGATGCTTGTACATTCTCTTGCTTACTGAGTACTTTTGATGACCATTTTTGAACCTAACTAAGTAGTAGATTTAAGGGTGCAAACTGTGGCCATCAAACTAAGGAAATCTAAATGGCCCAAATAGTAATCAAACCCCTATTAACACAATCACACATAAGAACTTTGACAGCTTCGATTTTATAGGAATACAGAAAATAGTGGGGGGTTGTGAAAATGCAGTAGCATTTAAATCACTCTTTCATTTTAGTTAAGATTTACCTTTATATCTTCAATAAGTAGTAGTTATTTCCAGAATATATTCTTTCTTAAGTTGTCATTTTAGTAGAGTTAATGGTTTTATATCAGATGCAGAGGTAAAGAGCAGTGCTTACAAATACACCTCGGGGAGTAACTGAAACTTCTCAATGAAAAATGCAGCACATGGCACATATCAAACAACAACAACAACAAAAAAGCTAGCCCATGGAATAATATATTCTGGGAAATGTAAGAAATGTTAATTTAATAATAATTCTTCTTATTATTAATATATACTTATTATATTATGTATTACATATTTTTTAACCTAATTTTATAAAGCTTGAAACAGGTTTTTGAGTGGTGTTTTTATCCCATATCATGGACCTTGTTGAACCCAATAGCTTGAAGCCATTTAATATACTGCAAACTTTTTGTTTGTTTGTTTGTTTGCTCTCTCTGTTTTTCTTTCTCTCAGTGGAGTCCCTCTTTTCACATCCTCTTCTTCAGGTCCTAAGACTTTTAAGTGAATGGAAGGGCAGGACAAGGGTAACACTAGTGTTTATAACTCTGTGAAACAGAAATTAACCCCTTCCCCAACTGCTGCCTCTTCCACATAAAACAGTAGGAAAAGTAAACAGTCTATTAGCAAATCCAGCACTAACCTCCTCTCTGTTCCAATGTGGTTATTATGTGGATATTTCATATTAGAAGATCCAGAGAAACAATTTCTAGAGCTTTCTCCTCAGTAAAAGGATGAATTGAATGTCTTTTACTGTTCCAAATCAGAGCAACTGGGGGAATTATACCAGCACAGAACATTGTTTATTGCACTCGGTAAATATTTATTGAATTGGATTCAAATCACTTTTGTTGGGAAGATAATTATTAATATTTGGCTGATGATAGTAGACTACTAACATATAAAGAGTCTTTCCTGGTTTTCCTTCAAGTTCTTATAAATAATTTCGCCCCTATGTGTGGTAAGTATGATTTGGCATCTGTTTTCTTACAACCCATGATATTTTATCTTCTACACAAAAATGATTCTTTTTCTAAGCACTGTTTTAAAGTTGCATACCAATTCACAGAGCCTGATATTCATTTGGAAGTAAATAATTTAAGCTTTTACATACTAACATCCCTAAAGGAAGAATACTTTGAGTAACATAACATTTCACTAGAACCAGTGAATTAACACCGTAATTTTTCTTTATTAATATAATTCTACGACATCAAAGGGGGATGGGAGAGGGGAGAACTAAATTGGATATGTGAATGACTTTCCTATCATTAAAACACTTAAAGAAATTGTTGCATTAGTATCAGGACTAATTTCAACAACCTCCTGTCTTTAACATTTCTCCTTTTTCTCTTTTGAATCATTCATTTTTTTTAATTTTATAAAAATGTCATTTTAGAAAGCCATTTGGGATTCCCCTTTTTTTTTTTTGGTAACTAAAAAGTTGCTTGTATATTTTTATGAACCCACTAAACTTAAACAGATCTCTTTAGAAAAATAATGTGGATATATTTTGCTTTCTACAGCTAAAGAATGTTAAAATAGAAATGCTTTCTTGAATTCCCTCTTCTGGCTCAAGTTACTAGGTGGTCCCAAGTTACCAGAAGTAAAATTTATAAATCTAACCCCTAGTCTAGACATTTTCCAGCACTGACTGCAGTTCAAAAAATATTAATGTCTAGCCGGCAAAGTGAAACTCCCCCCTGTGATTTTGCAAATGACTAGAAAGTTAACCTTTTGCCAACTGCTCCTTCTGTGCATGGAGGTTATTAAAAAGAATCCAGGCATTTATAAGTATGGGCTTTTTAAGACTGAAACACCTTGGCTTGACCCTTTGTGTCTCCTTCTGTTTATTCAGGCTTGGCCTCTGTGGCTGGAATGTGTGAGCCTGAAAGGAGCTGCAGCATTAATGAAGACATTGGCCTGGGTTCAGCTTTTACCATTGCACATGAGATTGGTCACAAGTGAGTGAGTTTAAGAAAATCAAAATAAATTTTAGAGCTCCACTCCTTTGAGCAACTCATAACTACTGTGCGGAACATGTGTGCTCAGCCACATTTTACTGCCTTTTTGTCTGATTTCAGTAGAGAATGTTATCATTTAGGGTGCTGGGATAAATCATCTTAAGAACTGGAGACTTGTTAAATAATCTTTCTGATTCATGACTAGTATCCTCCGAGTGGCGAATACATCACACTTAAGTTTTGTGATATATGTACATGTGCAGTAATTTAGTTTTAGCGTGGTCTACTCAACACCCGGCTCCTCTAAGTGAAATTGTTGAAATGATCTTTCTTTTCCTCAAGTGACAATACCTTTATATTTTAAAATTATCATTGACACCAGTTGCATAAAATTTACTTTGAGTTTTCACTCTTCCTACAGCTTGTGAGCATCTTTTCCAGGCATAAAGTTTGTGCAATCATTGCTATGTAACTTATATTTTTCAGGTGTACTTTGTGACATTAAAAAAAAGAAAGAAAGAAAGAAATGGTGTTCCAAGAGTAGTGAGATTTCATCCTTACTACCTTTTAAGAGGATCTAGTTTTTAGTATTTGTTTTAAATCTATCTGTCCTATCCACCTCTCATCTATAAAACCCTACTTTCTTTACTCCAAACACAGGCAGTAGTAAATGTAAAAGCCTGCTCATGTGAAGGGAGAGGAGTTTGGAAACTTTAAAAGGATAGTCAAACATTTTTATGTCAAGCAAGCAATCTATTTGCAAGAGCTCCTGACATTTGTATGATCTAAGTTTTACAGTCTGGTTTTTTTTTTTTTTTTTTTTTATAAAAAATGGGTGGGGGAAAAAGAACAAATAAAAATGAATGTTTATTGTACACTTGCCTTAGCGATCATTCCTGAGATAAATTTGTAGTTGAGCTTTTTTTTTTTTTTTTTTTTTTTCCTTGAAAGAGGAGAGTAAAATTGGATCAGTTTGTTGCATTATTTGGAAAATTGCAATTTAAATTTTACCAAATTAGTATTCATTTATGGGTAGCCTTAAGTAATCGGCAAGCTTCAAACCTGGATTGCTTCAAATATGGGAAAAAGGCAGCATTACACGTTTAGTAAAGTCCTAAAATTATGGGTATTCTAGTTTCCATTGCAATAAACAGCAAGGGAACAAAAGGGAAAAGCCCTTCTTATGCAGGCAGTTTATCTTCAGTGCACTTACAAATTTAGCTCATTAATGACTGTCATAATCTTATGCAACCAGACTGAATGTAATAGGTTCTGGTGGATTCAATTAAATCGAAAGGTCAGGACAAGCAACATAGCATGGATGAGTAATGTGTGTAGGGGAGCACTACTCCTTCATGCAGTTGCACGTTAGTCAATGCCAGCATATGCTGTGTAAGTCCCCTTTTCTTATATGTACTTACATAGCCCATTAGAGGGTTTATCTCTGTATATCTTATTAAGTTTCTAACTGTACTACTCTCAGGCCCCCTAGATTTTTTGTTGTTGTTGTTGGTCTAATGGGTAATTCCTTTAAATTTTTCCTAAGATGAATGGTTTATACCTTCTATAGAAGAATGTGCAAGAGGTAGAATATACCTCTTAAGATTTATGTTCCTTCGAATAACTTTTTTTTACTTCTAATTCTTGTTTGGTAGTGCGATTGTTAGAAATCGTGTGTGTGTGTGTGTGTGGGAGGGGGGGGATACACAAAATGCTTTTTAATGAGAGCCAGAAGAAATGCTTCCATTCAAAAATATTATTTGACTGACTAGAAATTAGCTTTCTTTCCATGTCCAGTTGATTACTATGTGACTATTCCTTTTCCCCAGACAATTAGGCAGGATGTGATTAACATGTTATCTTTTTAAATTTGTCAAATTGTATTTGGTCAGGTAGGAAAGATCTATTTCATGGATCTAAAGAGCCCTTTACTTGCTTTTAAGATTTTAGGGTTTAGCTTTGAGGAACCCAGCAAGTCAGTCTGGCACAATTCATATAATTAAAATACAGTGCTTTCTGTTCTTCTGAAACAAAGCAATAGCCATGATAAACATCAAGTATACTTTCCAGATAAAGTATAATGAACTTTTTTGTAATTTGTATTGTTTAGTAGGGTGGATGTTAAGTGAGATGATGAAGTCTGCAGATTCAGCACAATGAAGAACATTTGACCATTGATTACTGAAACTTGCCCCTACTCAGTCATTAGACTGTGTGAATACTGTCTACCTTTTAAAAAATTGTGTAGAATATGGTTTTGCACCCAGTGCTTGCTCATGTAGGGAGCTAATACCCATTTTAAACAGCTACGGGATAGCTTTTTTCTTTGGTCTTAATGACTACTTTTATGTTTCTCCATACCTTTGTGAAAACAAGAAGTTAGTTTTCTTGTCAAGTGAAAAATTGAGGTTTATGCTATTTTTAAATGGCATGTCTACCTCTAATGTAGGCTATAAGCCAAAGGCACTTAATGAAACTGTATAGAAAAGAATGTTCTTTGAAAGATTTTTTTCATTAATTATGTAGTTGCCATAGTTTCAGAAGTTGAAAAATTATGGTGTTAAAGAGGGGTGGCAAGAACTCAACCAGACCTCTAGTTATACTGAGAAAACTATCTAATGTATTCCTACTGTACAAAAATAATTTAAAAAAGAGATATTAAAATATTAATCTTTTTAAAGGATGCACATTGAAGTCTGCAGGACTGAAGTGACACAATGCCTGATATTTACTTTTAAAAGAAAGGGGGGAAAGGGAAAGATAAAGCAAGAAGAGCAACATGTTACATATTATTCTCATCATGATGTGTGGATGGGAGTTCATTAGGCTGCTCCCTCTACCATTGTGTATGTCTGCTTTCTTTTGCAAATAACGATAGGTCTTTAGGCCACAAATCTTTTAGATGTGACAACTCATTTATTAACTAATAGTGATTTGAGTGAACTATAAACCTGATTTTCAGAAAATGTGAAGAAGTGTCAAAAGTTGTATTGAAAGCTGTAGGGGTATGTCTATCAGTCTTGCTTTCAGAAATCAATATCATTGTTTGGTTATACCAATTGGGGTATGCTTTTATAGAAGACTGACTGGGAGATGATTTTTTTTTTTAAAGGAGAAATGTGCCAAGACTTCAGAATAAAATTGTAAAGTAAGTTATGTGTGTTAGGAAGCTCCAGTTACTGTTTTCATCCATCCAGATTTCCCTTCTTCTGGTGAAAGTACCTCTCTTTATTTTTTAAATTTATATTTATTTTTTTATCCTCACCCAAAGATACTTTTTTTATTAACTTTGAGAGAGAGTGTAAGAGAGAGGGAAAGACAGAAAGAAATATTTGATGTGAAAGGAACACATTGATAGGTTGCCTCCTGCACACGCCCAAACCAGGGCCCAGGCCAGGGAGGAGCCTGCATTCGAGGTACGTGCCTTTGACCAGAATCAAATCTGGGACTCTTTGGTCAGCAGGCGGATGCTCTATCTACTGAGCCAAACCGGCCAGGGCCCTAACTGCCTTTAAATGCTTGAACAGTGCTATGCTCTCATGATAGAAGGTTAATAATAAGCATACACCAAAGTAGTGTGTCAACACCATGCTATTGTCTGTGCCCATGTTTTTCCTTTTTTGTTTAATCCCTTTACCTTTCCACTCAGCCTCCCCTCCACACACACTCCCAACCTTCAACAGCTGTTAGCCTATTCAGCTTTTTTATCCACTCATCGATTGATGGGCACTTGGGCTGTTTTCAAATTGTGGCTATTGTAAATAATGCTGCAGTGAATATAGGGGTGCTTATATTCTTTTGAATTAGTGTGTCAGGTTTCTTTGGATATATTCTTAAAAGTAGAATCATGGGCTCATAAGGCAATTCCATTTTTAACTTTTGAGGTAACGCCATACTGCTTACCACAGTGGCTGCACCAATATGCATTCCCATCAGCAGTGTACAAGCGTTTCCTTTTCTCCATATCCTCACCAACACTTGTTTGTTGATTCATTGATGATAGCCATTCCAGCAGGTGCAAGGCGGTATCTCATTGTGGTTTTAATTTGCATTTCTCTGCTGATTAGCGATCTTGAGTATCTTTTCACATGTCTATTGGCCATCTGTATGTTCTCTTTGGAGAAGTGTCTGTTCAGGTTTTTTGCCCAATTTTAATTGGATTGTTTGTGGTTCTTTTGGTGTTGAGTTTTATAAGTTTTTTGTAAATTTTGCACACTAACCCCTGATCAGATGTATCTTTGATGAAGATGTTCTCCCATTCAGTGGGTTGTCTTTCCATTTTGTTGATGGTTTTCTTTGCTGTGTAGAAGCTTTTTAGCTTGATGTAATACCATTTGTTTATTTTTTCTTTTGTTTCCTTTGACCAAGGGAAGAGTTTATACTAAATATGAACTTGCTTTTATATAGGTTTGCAAAGAGTCGAGATTTCATTAGGCACATCCCTCCTCATTAAATAACTTCCTAAGTAAGTCCAAAATGAAGTCCAAAGTTAGAACTGAGTTCCAAATTCTGTTTTAGAAAACACATAAGCAAATTGTAATAACTATCCTATTGGGTAACTATTAAAACTAAAAATGTTTGCCAGATGTGGGTATAGAAGGCTCTGAGTACATCCATTAAATTTTGCTTTTGCTTTATTGTAACAAGTGATTCATAGCCAAGATCAGTTATGAATAAGAACAGATCAAAGAGATTACAAATGGAAAATAGTTTTTTAAGAAAGATGTCCCTTTATTCCCTTATGTTTTTCTACTACAATGGGAAGGCTTAGTTTTGAGATTTTATAGTTGTCACAATTTAGACTATAATTATGTCATCACTTTTTAAAGTACTTTTTAAAGGGAAATTTTCTCATTTTAAAACATTAAGAAACTATTCTTTTAAAAAATACATTAAAATTTTTTTTTATTGATTTCAGAGAAGAAGGGAGAGGTAAAGATAGAAAGAAACATCATTGATGAGAGAGAATCATTGATCATACCCCTCACTGGGGATTGAGC